ATCTAAATTAACAAATAAATAAAATTTATGGAAAAGTAAAAAATATTCTTACAAGTATTATTTTTTTAGCATTTGCAATTTTTATTTATTTTATTTTTAGTTTTTCTGTTCAACTTTAAATTGTATCTAATTGGTGTTTGACACTATCTATTTCTAAATTTTAACTAATACTACAAATTCTACTAATTTTAACTAATAATATATAATTAACTAATAATAACTAATAATTCTAATATTTAACTAATTCTAATAATTCTAAATTTTAACAAAACTCATTTTTATTTTATTTATTGACAAATATTTGGTATTTTAAGCAAAAACAAAATCAGGATTACCATTATTAAAACTGACGCTAAAAGTAAGGATTTTAAGGAGACATTTTTCTATTATTTAAAGAGGTTTAGTAACGAAAGACAATTTTTCGAAAGAAAAAATAAGCAGAATTAAGGAGAAAATAACTACATTGAAAACAGAATCTTTTTTTTTTCCATAAATTTTGAATAAAAACAGAAAAATTACTATAAACTAACATATTACTTAGGTATATATATATATATATATATATATATATATATATATATATATATATATATATATATATATATATATATATATATATATATATATATATATATATATATACACATACATATATACATATACATATATATATATATATATATATATATATATATATATATATATATATATATATATATATATATATATATATATATATATGTATATATATATATATATATATATATATATATATATATATATATATATATATATATATATATATATATATATATATACATATATATATATATATATATATATATATATATATATATATATATATATATATATATATATATATATATGTATATATATATATGTATATATATATATATATATATATATATATATATATATATATATATATATATATATATATATATATATATATATATATATATATATATATATATATATATATATACAACCCTCGGAAATAGGGTTGGCACGCAGCAATGCCAACCTAAAAGTATTTGAGGTCAACAAATAATGCTGACCTTGTTTCTATGTTTAATTGTTAATCAAATTTTTCTGCTTTTTTGATTGATGTCGACAAGTTATTGCTTTTTTTTCTAATTCCAAGGGTTGTGTATATATATATATATATATATATATATATATATATATATATATATATATATATATATATATATATATATATATATATATATATATATATATATATATATATATATATATATATATATATATATATATATATTATATATATATAAATATATACATGTATATATTTATATATATATATATATGTATATATGCAGGGCTTAATTTAACAGTCGAACATCGGACATTGTCCGGCTAAAACCTCAGATTGTCCGATCAATTTACAAAGTCATCAGACATTTTGTCCGACAAGATTTTTAATTCTTTAAAGTAAAATTTTATTCGTTCATTTGAAATTAACAAATTTAAACTTAATGTAAACTATTAGACAAACTTATAAAATATGTTGTTAATGGAGGCATTCATTCCCAAAAAAAGCGCTGTTATTATTTGTAGTTTTAATGACTGTTCTTTAACAGTTTTGTTGTTATATTATTAAATTTAAAATTATTACTTATTTAAAACGATCTCAAAAGTCAAAGTATGTTATACGATGGAATATTTAAAATAAAAAAAAATTAAGAAAATATACATTTAAATATTAACGTTATAATCATCCAAATCATTCTACTTTAGCTTGAGCGGTTTCTCGATGGCATACTGGTCCTACTCGAGTTTTCCGATTCTTTATTTATTATTTGTTTTTTAAACTATATTTTTATTTGTATTTTTTTCTTATTATTTATTATCTATTATATATATATATATATATATATATATATATATATATATATATATATATATATATATATATATATATATATATACATATATATATATATATATTTATATATATATATATATATATATATATATATATATATATATATATTATATATATATATATTTATATATATATATATATATATATATATATATATATATATATATATATATATATATATATATATATATATATATATATATATATATATATATATATATATATATATATAAAAGATTAAAAAGTTCTAGCTTTATAAAACTTGTCGGCCAAAGGAGGAGTGCCTTTTTGAAAAGTAGATGAATAATAACTTGTAGAACTCGTAAAATTTTCTTTGTTGAATTGATTGAACTTTAATGACATGCAGCGCGTGGAATTTTTAAATTAAATAATAGCCCGTAAATGTTATATTGCGTTTGATTTAACCGCCTTTAAATAAGTAAAAGCGAAGTTTAAATTTTTTATATCAAGTTTAAAAATAATATGTTTATCTTAATATTTAATATATTAAAGACATTATTATATTATATTACTATAACAAACTTGTTTTTTTGCCATTTTTATTATTGATAAAAATAGTTACATGAACACCATATAAATACCTTTTTGGGAGCTTATGTGCAAAATTGAAACTTAGCATATTATATTTTTTTTAATTAAAAAAATTTACATAACTTTTATAAACCGGTAATGCAATTCAATGTAAACTAAAAAGGTTTTTGAGAGAAAAAAACTCAATAAAACTTCAAGTCTATATAAAAAAATGTGCAGTATCGAATTTAAACTATTTCATTTAAAATACAAAAATGATAAAAATTCTGAATATTAAAAAAAAAAAAACTACAACTTCAGTTGCCTAAAATAGAATAAACTGGGAAAACATAGCATATATTTTTTTAAATATCTGTATCATTTTAATTTATATATATATATATATATATATATATATATATATATATATATATATATATATATATATATATATATATATATATATATATATAAATTAGCAAGAACCTGTATTTAAGTCGCTTTTCATTAGGTGTTTTTAAAATTCTCCTTGCATCTTTGGGAAGTTCCAAACCTTTATTTAGCAATTTTTCAAGAAGATCATTAACTAATGTACTGGTCCCATTATAGAATAGCACAATATTGTCAAATAAAGACATTGAATTCAAAGAATTATCAGGATAATTGTTTTATGTATCATTAACATGTTTTCCTATTGAAAAATTCGATTCTGCATGAGATGTCTAAATCTTTGAAATTGTTAGAACTTGGTTCTTGATATAGCAATACTATACTAATAGTATATCAAGTATATATATACATAGTATAGCATATATTCACTTTTAAACCGTTTCTTCCATTATCTGTAAAAATTTCATTACCTGTATCAACATTACCACAATTTTCAAGTAATTGATAAAAAAAATAAAAATTAGCTAGAACGTGTTTATTTGTCGTCGTAAAAAGACTTCTTTTATAATTGAAAAAACAAATTTTAAAAATGCGTTATTTAAAAATTTTAGGAAGTTTTAGCATTGCGATTTTTTTTTGATTTAATAAAGCATTCTGGATATTTTTTGGACGAAAAAATTATTGGACGCGAAAAAGACGTTCAAAAGACGTTTAGATTTTAATATGACGGACGGACGCGATTTGAACGTCCTAAGGACGTCTTTTTTACGTCCCGTGCCCACTGGGTATATTTCATTATTGATTATTCATTATATTATTTTATATCCTTTGTTGAATTTTTTCTTAAAAAGCGTTATTGATTTTACGGAACTTGATAGTTTTTACAAGGTTTATTAAGTTGTTTTCAAATGATGACATTTCTTTCATTTGTGGAAAAAAATTTGAAAAGTTAATGCCATAGTTTACATATTAAGCAAATAATTTTGATCAGATTGCTTGTTGGTAAAGAAGGTAATGCTTTCCACCTCATTAGTTTTATAAGTATTTTGGTTTTTGCTTGTAATTGCAATATAAATTCTTTCTCTTATGTCAGTGGCGTAGGAAAGTTTTTAAATGTTTGAAATAACCAACCTTTAAACAAAAAAGAGTATTTCGAATTCTTTTAAGTTCATATATATGAAAAAAAGATTTTTCACAAAAAAATTTACTGTGAAAGGAAAATGGGAACAAGAAACCCTAAAATCTTAGACCCTCTTCCCACCCTAAACGTGAGGGCAATGACTTAAATAATTTATTTTTTCATAAATATAAACTTGTTATGTATTCATCGACAAATTTCAAATTTTATTTTAAATTATTCAGTGTTTAGTTTTTATGACCATTTAAAGAATAACCTCCTCTCATTTTGAGGAGGCAACAAACTATACATGGTCATAAAAACTGAACACTGAATAACTAAGAAATAAAATTTGAAATCTCTAGATGAATATATAACTAGTTTATATTAATGAAAAAATAAATGATTCAAATCGTTGTCCTAATGTTTAAAGTAAGGGGGCTAAGATTATAGGGTTTTTTGCTCCCATTCTTCGGTCACAACAATTTTTTTTTGTGAAGAATCTTTTCTTCATACCTATAAAAACGTAAAAAAGTTTGAAATATTCTATTTGTTTAAAAGTTGCATATTTCAAACATTTAAAAACCTTCCCACGTCACTGTTCGATGGGAAAAAAATATTTTTTTTATTTGAGTATTGTAAGTTTAAATTCTCTATCTTGTAGACGACTTTGAGCAGAGTGCTTGATCGGTTGAGTGTTGATATCGTTTAATATTGTGTTGCAATAAAATAATTCAACAATATAAACTCTCAATCGCTCAATGTTAACGAAACTTATTATTGTTATGATTATATGCCGGCCACCAATAGTAATTACGGTATTTTTCTAGTTTATTTTTTGCATTAAAAAAGTCCTTTGCCATTTGTGAAGTCATGTATATATGTATATATATATATATATATATATATATATATATATATATATATATATATATATATATATATATATATATATATATAAGTGATAAATATAGTGATGTATTATATATTTTTGTATGAATTAGTAATAAGAGTAACCACAAACTTTATTAGTGAATAAATTGAGTCCAACATGGGTATACACGCAACCGACTGGAACCAAGCTGCTAACTGACACTTTTCAATTTGTATGTTCACAGTTGCTGTTAAGGTATGATTACTTTATTTTGGTTATTTTAGATTATAAATACTTACAAATATTTGGAAAGTCATTGTTTTAGGGTCATTTTATGTAAAATTAACAAGCTCATGTTTCTCAAATAAATCATCCTAGAAAAATAATTTGGAAAAACAGCCATTCCATTAACCTGATTCTATTAGTACAACATTTTTAGCGTTAATTAAAAAAACCATCAACTTAAAAATGATTATAAAAATTTTCTATACATTTTACAGTTAAGCTATTTTATTTTAGCAAGTTTTTACTCATGTTAAAGGGCTTGAAAATATTTAGAAAACCAGTTTAAATATTTAAAAAATGTTTCAGTAACTTACTCTTCTACGGTTCTTAGAATATTAAGGCTTCCGTTGTGCCTATCAATGTTCCTCTTATCTATTTTTAAATGAAGTCATTAAAAAATACATGCTGGAAAATACATGCTAGAAAAAAAATGCCAATTTGATGTGAAAAATGCATAATAAAATTCTATAGTTCAAAGTATATTTTGGCGATCATATTTGTGATATCACCAAATTTAAACATGCAAATAGTATAAAGAAAACAATAAATGTTGATTTAGACCGTTAGCTTTACTCTGACATGATTTACTTGCTTAATGATATTTGACATTTGCCACTCTATGTCCAAACTTTCCTGAATTTTAAAGTCCCTTTTAGTTACAACTTTAGTTACATCTAGAATTGAAAACAATTCATCGTTAAGTTTAGAAAAGTATATTTTATTGAAGTGAACGTGATTGAATATATGGAACTTTTAACCGCCTATTTTGTTTACTATATTCTCGAATATTTGAACACTACAGGAGAAATCAAACTCCCATATATAGAAACACCTTCATTATTATAAAACATGCTCTTCTAAATTTAGTAATGAATGTTTTTCAATTCTTGTTTTTTTTTAAACAATTAATTATTTTGTATTCAAGAAAGAATTTGGTAATATATATATATATATATATATATATATATATATATATATATATATATATATATATATATATATATATATATATATATATATATATATGTTATTACTATTATTATTATTGCTATTGTTGCTATTATTATTATTATTATTATTATTATTATTATTATTTTTATTAGGTTTACAAAACCAAATAATTTAAGTCCGAATAGTTTAATTTATAATTTACTTGCCTCTTAATCACTCTTGGCGGCAATAACCGCCATACATATTTTTGGCACTCGACTTATTTCATTTGTCGAAGTCAATTTTATGCCTCTAACTATTAAGTTTATCGACAACTTATTCATCATTTGGCATTATTTTTTGACATTAATTCCTCCCATAGGAGCAAATCCAAAATAGGAGAGAGATCTTGTAACTGGGGAGGCTGAATCATTTTATTTAATAATAGATTGTTTTTGAACCCAATCAAATAACTTAAACAAGTTTTTGAAAACTATGTCTTAGTTTTACAATTCCTTTTTTTAAGCTTCAAGTTATTTTCTTTAAAAAAAAAATAATTTTTCATTAACCCATCTTTCCAAAGATGTAGCATAATTTTTAAATTGTACAATTAAACTACTTTTTTTGTTACTCCATCTATTTCCACAAAGTCACCAGTGGCATTCGAACCAAAACAGTCTCACACAGGGCCGTTCCGAAGAGGTTTTCCATGGGGGTGTTGTGTGTATTTATTGCCAACTAGAGACACCAAAAAAAAAAAGGTCCTCAATATTTGCAATTTTCCAACGAATGTTCAAAACTTACTCAATGTGATAACTCGAATGCTTACATAACAGCTTTGGAACAATCCCTACACGCCCCGTTCGGGGCGGCTCAAGCCGCACACCCTAACACTATATCCACAATGTTTTTTCAGACAATCGGTCATCAATGATTATAAACGCGGACGTCGGTTCGCGTTTATAATCATTGATGGTCCATTTTCTATATAGTTTTGCTCACTTAAGCATTTTTAGCATTCTTATGATTGTTTAAACATTTTAACCAAAATACTCTTAAATTATCTAACAGTGAAAAAATAAATATAAAAATTAGTTAATTTTAAAAAAAAAAAATATATATATATATATATATATATATATATATATATATATATATATATATATATATATATATATATATATATATATATATATATATATATATATGTATATATATATATATATATATATATATATATATATATATATATATATATATATATATATATATATATATATATATATATATATAATTGATATTTTCATTTGCTTATTACAAAATAAACTATATTAAAAACCGTATAAGATGACAAAATAAATACGAAATTAATTTAATGAGATAAATGAAATTATATGCATTTTACCATTCTTTACTTAAAAAATATTTTATAAGCAACACACAAAAGTTTATGTTAACGTAATTAATATGCTGCTTTTGGAATTGTGTAATAAGTTGCAAAAACGTCAACATAACGTCAACTTTTTTCTGTCAAATTAATTAAATCAGATAGCTATTAAATTTTTTGCGGATTTTCTAGAAGCTAGAAGACAAGTTCTGCTACAATTACAAGTGCATTTAAAGATTCCATAAGTGATCTGCATAAAATACATTTTCTTGATGGCGTTAGCGCTGTAGTTCCAAATATAATGGATCCATCCAATCGGACACAATCAAAAAAGCAAAGTTAGCAAATAATTCATGTAATTGCGGCCACTCACATGTGGCCACTCACATAATCAATTATCCATAAAATGGTGCAAATGCAACATTTTTCTAATTCTCATTTCACAAAAAAACCTGTAAACAACATTTATTAAATAGTAGCTCATCTGAAGTTTACAATATATGTATGTTTGCATTTTGTCTAAACCTCTTACGCAATGTTCACTTAACCGTAAGTTACCATATGTATGTTTGTATTTTGCCTGAATCTCTGACGTGGTGTTCCTTTACTAGTAAGTTGCTCTTTGTATATTTGAGTTCTGTCTGAGCATCTGGCGCGGTTTTCACATACCTTTAAGTTACTACAATGTAGTAACTTAAAGTTAAGTGAAAAAAAAGTACTTAAACATGCATATAGTAACTAAATACATGTTTAAGTACTTTTTGTGCCTCTGGAACGGTGATTACTAACCTCTGATGCAGTATAAGCTCTCAGAGATGTAGATTTCATCAACAGCTGTAAAATATCAGAGTTTATATAATGCCATGTTACGCATGGATGGTCTCTCTGTTAATGCTTTTGGTGTGCATTGTCACGGCCCCATAAGGAGCTCTAATTTAAAAACTTTAGATTAATTAGCAGGGCCAAGACAACTACATAGATTAGTTTTTGGAATGTCATGCTCTACTTATGAATAAATCAAGTTTTCTTTAAACTTAAACCATGCCTAATTTAACCAAAAATATGAAAAATAAAAAACCATTATTGCCAACTATTTGTTTTGATAAATATTTTAGAAATATTTCTGGTTTCCAAAACAACTTTATTCCAGTTGAATCTCACCTAATACACTAATTTAGAGACTAATTTAAATTTGGCTGCTCTTTTTCAGTATTGATGTGTCCTATGCTTCAATTCACAAATTCTTAAGTTTTTAAAATTTAAGAAATTTAAGTTAAATTTTAAAAATCAAGTTTTTAAAAGTCACATGCATGGCTAGGGCATGCATACGCATTAATTCACCAACTTGCCGAGAAATTAGATTTGAGTTCTTTGACCATTCATTTATGTGCTTTTTATTAGCACTTTATTACTCTAACACTTTTCTCTTAGTACTTTATCGTTCTCCATCTTCTGAAGACTACATCATTTTAGATGTATTTTCTGATCAGATTAAACTTGCTTTTTCTCTTGAAACCTTAGCCGATATTGTTGTTATTGGCAACTTTAATGTTATTCACACTGAATAGCTTGACTTTAACACCACTTACTCTGCTGTCACTAAGAACATAACTTTTGTATTTCCTAATCTCTTACTCCAATAGTCATTGTTGTGACTCGTTTTTTGGAAAACCCTAATCTTCATTCCTTGACTTGTGTCCTATTTCTGACCATAGCTTGAGTTCGTTTACTCCTTGTTTTCCATTAGTTTGTTTCAACCATGCAATGATCTCTTCTTTCATCTCGTACTTCCTCTTCGGACATACTACTACTCCAAAACTGACTGGGATTCTTTTCGTTACGTTCTTTGTCATTATTTTTTGACTAACGCCTTTTTTCTTTTTGCTAATAAATACGCCTTCAATGTAACCTTCTGGATCCAGGCCGTTATGGAAGCTTTTATTTTTTCTAGTCGGTATAAAGTCAGGCCTTGTTCTACTCTATGATTTTTACCTTCATTAGCAGCTGCTCTATCTAATCGTGATCAGTTTTTTAATATTTTTCAAAAAGGTAACTCTTTTTGCAAACAAGAGCTAATTTATTATAGCAAGAAATCAATGTAAAAAGATGATGTCTGATACTAAGCTTCATTATTCCCAGTTTACTAAATTGCGTATCTTATCTCAGAAGTTAGGTTCTTGAGGTTTTCGGAAAATCTTCAACACTGTCATTAACAAAGGTCTAATATTCATCTCCTGGAATGATTTTATTACTTCTTCTTAAAATAACTAAAAACTATTTGCAAAAAAAAATATTGAGTTTGACTCTTGAATCTTCAGGCAATACTCTCTCTGGTATTCCAGCTAAACAGGTTAACCCAATGTAAGACATTCAAAACACTCCAACATCTGTTGCTAAGCTTATACTTTAATTAAACCATGGAAGTATAAATTAGAAAAAAAAGTTCAACCTCATTAAAATGCTTCAGGACTATGCTTATAATCTTTTGTTTTGTAAACATAAAGAAAACGACATCAAGACTGCACTTGAACGCTTAGTCTTTATATATTGACGAAATAGGTACATTCATAATATTTTAATAGTAGAATTTTGACAGTTAGCCAATAATATTCAAGTATAAACATTAAAAGGGCGTTAATAAAACTCAAGAAAACAATAAAAGGGCAATAATAAAAATATAAATTCTATTTAACTACCAAGTTTTAGTAAACATTTTGGTGAATAATTACAATTACTAATGGTTAAAACTATGTAGCGTATCTTAAAACAATTTCTATCAATCTTCAACACTGCGTATCTAAAAACATTCATAATATTTTAATAGTAGAATTTTGACAGTTAGCCAATAATATTCAAGTATAAAAATTAAAAGGGCGTTAATAAAACTCAACAAAACAATAAAAGGGCAATAATAAAAATATAAATTCTATTTAACTACCAAGTTTTAGTAAACATTTTGGTGAATAATTAGAATTACTAATGGTTAAAACTATGTAGCGTATCTTAAAACAATTTCTTTAAATGTTTTAATAAAAAAAAATTTTGTCTAATGGAATTTGTTTTTTTTTTTATTTTTTGTTACAAGTATATATCCGGAGACAACTTAAAATTGCTTTGATGTTTGCAGCTAGATGAACTTCTATCTGTTTTATACTTTTTAGAATTAAACTATTTTCCGAATTGCGATACAGACAACATTCCCGTCATAGTTTTACAAAAGTGATCTCAAGAACTCACTTAAATTCTCTCTAAACTATTAACTAAGCGCTTGACTGATTATTGTTTTTCTGCCTACTGGATATTGGTATCGTGTTTTGAATTTTTAAACTGAAGGTTTTCAAACACTAAAGAACTTTCTGATCTCTTCAACTATTGTTCAATTAGTCTTCTCTCTACTACTAGTAAGGTCTTTGAGTCTTTGATCAAATTTAGTCTAGTAATTTTGAATTTAGGATGACTGTCAAACAATCAATACATATCATAAACCATGATAGTCAAAGTCGCGACTTAAACGATTGATAAATCTTTTTTTTTTAAAGTCATATAAAAACCTTTAAAGAGTTTAAACTTTAATTTTTGGACAAAAACCTGTATTTCAAAACTGTCTTTGAACATCCCGTGTTGATACTACCATACCGTAAACAATTTAAGGCCATTTAAGGCTAATGTGCCGCTCATTAAAATTTTGGATGATTTGTTAAGTTTTCATTTTCCTTAACCTGACTACCGTAATTTTTGTTCGAATCAGCGCATTAACAGCAAATTTGTTATTTTTTAGATTTTTAGAAAATGTGCGGAGATGAAAAAAACATTTTATAAATAAAAATATAAATGAAAAGTTTGTAACAATAACTACTAAATGATTGTTTTTATTTGACCACTTCTTCACCATACTTCTTCCCCAGACGCAAGCACTTATTCGCGCGCACACATTTAACCCCTTTTTTACCAGACGCAAGCACTTATTCGCGCACATACATTTACTTTATAAAGATCAAATGTTATTATATTTTAGACAACAAAGTCTATGTTTTCAACAGGAAATATCTACTGGAATAGTCACGTGTAAGTATAATTTTTATATAAAAAGACAACTAATTAGAAAACAAAGAAATTGATTTTTTTTTCTTTTTTAGTTCTTCCAAATCAGGTGATGGACGTGATTGGTTATGATCCAATAACCACAATAATTTACGGGCGCACGCTAAGAAATAACTTTATAGAAATGAACTTGGCTAAAAGAAAACCTATGGTGATATCAATTGAAAAGTGCTCACAAATAAAAGCATGTAACCCGCTTTCAAGTTCAAAATGATGTTATTAGGGTGCATGGCATGTGATGCCAAATAACTTTCAAAAATGTCTTTCTTTTATTAAGTTAAAGGCACATTAAATTAAAAAAATGTAAAAAAAAGATCTTTTGTTTAAACTACTGTTTAAACTTTTTCATTAACAATATTTTCTTAATTTAAATTGAGATCCTAGATTAATAAATGCTCAAGAAATATATTAATTAAAAAGGTAAATATGCCAAGGTTGTATTTAATTAGTTAACACCGCGCAATTTTCAAAGGAAACTCTCTCATTTTATGGTTCTACAAAATTTAAAATAGATTATAATGATTCTATTAAACTTGATTTGATTTTCTAATAAATGACCAATCAGATTCCAACTTATACTGAAACATGATAAAAAGATATAAAAAAAACTTTTTACCAGGTTTCAGTATAACTTTCTTAGAGCGTAAAAATAGATAGCAAGGTGGTGGCTTACTAGTTTATAATAGAAAATGTATGCGATGTATTATCAGGCATGAAATGACCTTTATCGATGACGATAAAGAGGTTTTAACAGTTGAAATCTTTACCAATAAAAAAAAATTAGTTGTTGAATTGTTACAGCCAAGTTGAGAGTTTTAATGTATTTTTAAATAATATTATTCGAAATGGGATTAAATGCAGTTTTAACTGTTAGTAAAAAGGAACGTAAGAGTATAAAAGCTGTTGATACATATTGCATGTTAACATTTGCTCTACGTTGGAATATTGCTAATAAGTCAGTTCATCAAAAATCTTCCCAAATGTGTAAATTATGTAATCCATAATATTTTTTGTTTAGCTTTTGTTTAGCTTCCAATATAATAATATATACTAATAGTATATACTGTTATATACCAATTTTGCTTAAGTTAATTTCAGAGCAATTTCTTAAGTTTGTTTGAGAATATTTTATAAAACACAATATACATTTTTTTTATTTTAGTTGTTATTTTTTTTTTGTGGTGTATGGGTGTATGGGTGTGTAACTTATATGGATATGTTATTTTCAATGATTTTAATGTCTAAATATATTTAAATGATAAATAACTTTCATTTTTTACTATTTTTAAAGCTTTGCAAATAATGAACACTTGCTTCTTTCAAACTGTCCCGTTTCGCCCCACCCACTTGCAAAATGTAAAAACCTCGCTGGTCTAGAGTTTCGTTACTTTGGTTGTCGTAGCTTATTCTCCGAAATTTATTTTTTCGTATTCATATATCAATGAATTTTAAGAATTTTATAAAAAACAGTGTTAACTATGATATTAATGTTTTAGATTATCAAGATGAAGAACCTCTCCAATCGGTTTGTCTTCATTCACATTGTTTACATAAATTTGCATCTTCATAAATCTCATTTTATCATCTAAGGAGTAATCTAAGAAGAGTTTATTGCTTAAAAAGTTTTAAACCAGAAGGTCGTCATCATAATAAATTCAAATGATTGAATCAATTTCTTAAGAGATTTTAGTTTATTTAATAGGCCACCTAATACCAACGGCTTTATAGCATCAATGCGCGCACTCCATTGAGTTTGCGCGGTTTAATGAAGAAACAACCAGTTGTCTTGGTCTAGAATTTCCATTGAGTAGGGTTTCCACTAAAAAGGTTGTAAAGTAACTGAATCCGATCAAAATATTTCTTTACTTCTACAGGAGATTCAACGGAATGAACACCAATAAGACTATAGGCGCTGCATGACATGTAGGGCTCTTGATGATTCTTTTCAAGTATGATTGTTTGTACTCCATTGTACACATCAGATATGTTAGCTTTACTGCTGTATCCTTGACCTAGGTAGTTCTTTAAATTGATGTCATTTTAATCCAAGACATCTATATTTAACCTAGCAACGTCCTGTGGTAGTTTATTCCATCCACCTGATTTATTCCATCCCACCGAGCAAAACTCAAAGCGAGAAACGATTTTTATCATACGCAGTTGGATGGAATAAATCAGGCGGATGCAATAACCTGCTACAGTAGCGGATTATTTTATCCCAATGTATGAAACGTCAAAGTGAAACTTATATTACATTTATTTGTTTTGTTTTCATGTTTATGTTATAAAAATAATATACTAATGTCGCTTACAAATATTTCATTCACATGAATCAAATAACTGGGAGTAATACGCAGTGGGATGGAATATATCAACCGTACAATATGAGATATATGATACTGTTAATAATAGTAAAAATATAATTAGTATAGTTATTAGTCTAACAAATCATGAGATTTTGCAGAAGGAAAGAACCATACTCTGCTTGGTTTACACTTATATTTTGAAACCAATGTTTGATTTACTTTACCTGAGCTTGTTACGTAATATGGATTTAATAAATAATTAATATAACCCAAAGTGAAAAAGTTAACCATGGATTTGGAGCAATTGTAAGAGTCTCGGTCCAAAGTAATGATTAGCATTGTTGGTATTTCATTTTTACAAAAAGCTCTTTAAATGATCTTTATTATTTGTTCATTGGGCTTTATATCTTGAAAGACTTAACGGTTTTTCTTCTACGAATTTTTAAATTACATCCTAATTCAAAATATCTGTTTAAAATGAGTAATTATAAAATTTATGAGTTAAGGTAATAAACTTTTAAAAGGCTACAAATAGTGATGGTCACTACAAATAGGTTTACTTTTGACGTTTTTTGGTCATACTGTAATGCCCTTCGAAAAGAAAAACATTTAATTTTTTCTGAAAGCGGTATTAACAAGAGATGTTATTTAAAAGCAAACAAGAAATCATAACAAACTTAATTTTACTTCAAGTATAACATAAACTATTACTGCCATGACAATTACATGATAAAAATTTACTCAAAATAGCAATAACATGATAATAATTGTAATAAACTGTTTAATGGTGTTACCAGAAAACAAAGTTATTGTTTTCTTAATGTTGTTCATTTAATGTTATTACCTAAACTGTTGCCTAATGAATAATAAAGTAAACTTTAATTCACAAAAATTTACTAATCTAAAGGCATTTTTCAACAAACATTGTATCAGTAAAAACCTCTTTAGAAACTTTATTACCTAATGAAAACATGATTTGATGTCTTAGATTAAAACCATATTTCAACAGTAGTCACATAAAGTATAAATAATGAAGAAGGGCAGAACCTTATGGTCAAAATAAATGAAAAAAAAAATAATATAACAACAAAAATATTTTTTAATTAGCATAAATTATATAATCCTTTTAAATAAAATAAAAAATAAACAACACTAGTTTATGTAAATTAAAAGAAATAGCAAACATAGAACTCAAAAACATAAGTACATAGAAGAAAATACATTAATTTGAAAAAAAAATTAATGTAACATTAATGTATCTATAAATTAGGCTATAATAATGATATAATGATATGTTAAACTTATGACTATACTAATTAAAGTAAGATAAACACTTTATTACTATATTCCTAACATGGGCAGATCAAGGAAATTATTTGGATACATCTGATTTTTTCACAAGCAACTTTTAATCCCCTCCCCACCTATCAGCCATATTACAAATTACCATTTTTAAACTAAATTTACACATCGTAAAGTTTTATAATTATATTGTACAAGTATTTTATAAAATAACACAAGTTATAAAAAAATATTTTTATATTATAATTCATAATATAATATGCAATATTAAATAAAATAAAGAGATATTCATTAATGCAATCTTAAAACACCATTTTGTTAGGAAAAAGTAAATTAAAATATTGATTAAAGATCATTTGACAGAATGGTTCATTTAAAAAATCAGTATTTCTCAAATTGTATTTGTTTATGGGTTTCGGAGTAAAAATATCTTTGAAAACAGATTGAGACAAGTCATTTTTTCACATGTATACAAAGCATAAAACGTTATATATATTTAGTTCGTATATATTTAAAATTCTCATTTCAATAAAATAATGTTTTGCGTGAGAAAAGCGATTTGCAAAACAGATTAAACGGATAGCATGTTTCTGACGGCGATAAAGACGTTGCAACTTACTTTTTTCTGTACTACCCCAGGCGATATTAGCATAATTTCAATAACTGTGTGTAAATGAATAATAAAGTTTGATTAAAATTTTCTTATTGAGGTGGATTTGTGCTTTATATAAAACTCCTATGTCTTTTGAAATTTTAGTGCTTATGTAGTTGATATGATGATTCCAAGTGATGTTTTCATCAAGATAAACACCTAAAAATTTTGTTACGGAATCCCTTTTTATTTCAATTTGATAAATAATAATTTTAGGTAAGTTTACTGGCGAATACCGTTTTTTGGAAAGCGAATGGAATAACGTCCACTTTGTTTTATTTTAGTTAACATATTACATTTAAACCAACTCGATACATGTTTAAGCTCTTTGTTCATTGTTTTAAAAAGTTCAAAGATATCGCTGTTTAAAAGGAATAAGTTAGTATCATCTGCAAACATAATACTTGTTAGTTTAGAGGCTTTATTTAAATCATTAATATAAATTAGGGAAAGGAGTGGACCGAGAATTGAGCCTTGTGGGACTCGAATGTGATAGAAAGACAATTGGTATGATAACCGTCATTACTCGAAACAAATTATTTACGATTTGACAAATAGCTTTGAAACCATTTTAAAACTTTAATTTTTAATCCAAAGTGTTTAAGTTTATAGATTAGAATATGGTGATCAACAGTATCAAAAGCTTTTGATAGGTTAATAAAAAGTCCTAGAGTATATTGTGATTTTTCAAATGGTTTTGAAGTTTCACGTACAAATTGGATAATTACATGTTCAGTTGAGCTATCCTTTTTAAAACCGAATTGATTAATGTAAAGTAATTTATCAACATGAAAATATTTGTATACTCTATTATATATAATTCTTTCTAAAATTTTTGAAAATGTGGAAGGAACAGAAATAGGGCGATCGTTACTAATAGTTGATTTGTCCCCTTCTTTGAAAATAGGAATAACTTTTGGCAATTTTTAACAGTTCGGAGATAACACCTTGATGGATAGAAGCATTAAAAACTTTAAAAAGAACAACTTTTAGCTGTTCAAAACAATCTATAATAATGTTTCCATTTATTTGATCTGCTCCAATTGCTTTATTTATTTTTTTTAACGATTTGAAGGCTCTTTCAAACTCTTCAATCAACAATTGAGAAGACAACTCAACTGAACCAATGCAATTATCAATGGTTACTAGAAATTTAGTAAATAAA